AAGCAAACGAGAAAATAGTTGGACAAACAAAGAAACAGACAAACCAAGAAACATAAAATCAACACAAAGACAAAACACAACTGCAAGCCATACAAGCAAGCAAGCAGTACAGAAAGCAAAGAAACGTGCAAACCAACAAACAAACTAAAAAAAACACAAAATGAAAACACACACACACAACGTCGCAAACACACAAACACGCAAACCAATAACCAAGCACACGCTACACACAAGACAAATATCACCCAAACAAAAAACCAAGCAAACTCAAACACACACACACACAATCGAACAAACTAGTAAACGAGCAGACACTAAAAACACCTGAAAAAGAACACGCAAACCCACAATCAGCCAACCACAAACACACACACACACAGAAACAACCGAACAAGAAAACGCAAACACACAACTAAACAAAGACGCACACCGATAGACAAGTGCATAAACAACCGAACAAACAAACACGCAAACACGCAACACCTGTCACACACAAACACACTAACACACAGACACACAGACACACAGACACAGAACCACAGAAAGACACAAACCCCTAGCATTTACTTCAAGAACAAATGCCAAACTAGTTTGCCTCACTCACAATTCTGCCGCCGCTCAACAGAGTATTCAATCAGGCCACTTACAGCTGTCACCGTGAAACCACTGTGCTCAGCAGGTATGCCCACTGCAGCGCTGGACATGGGCATGTCTCATAATAACGGATGGGTAAGGGGGCTGATGGCGTGGCTTCCTGTTGATTCCCTTTAAGCCAACCTTGCACGCAGCGCCCGGCTCTCAGCCCCGCGCCGCGCCGTTGTAGGTGCTGCGCAGCTTCGCCGGCACGAACTGCACCTTGCAACAAAGAGGTTGGCAACCCCGAACTCGCCAGGTATGGCAGACTTCAAGCGTCCAACCCCATCTCACGGGATAAAACGGAAAAGGAGGACTGGTCAAAACTTGCCTGCCGAACCAGTTGAGCCCAAATTCACTGAAGTTGCATCAATCTTGATCAACCGTAAGGCCCAGTCAAAGGAGCGGGGTCTCCAGAGTCCCGCTCTGTGTGCATCGCTTAGTTTCAATGTGTCTCAATAAGGCAGGCCAAACAATGCAGCAATATGGCTGTTTGTCAAAATGGGAGGCCCTCTTTCGGGAGCAATTTCATCTCAGCCAGAGTCTGCGAAGGGATAAGGATGGCACGCCATAGAAGAACATGCATCCCACCTCAGGTCCATGCTGCGCTTGCTGACGCACGCAACACACCACCAAGACTCACACCAAGAGTACGTTGACCGGCATGAACAATTCCTAAGGCTTGACCCGAGTCTTTCTATGGTGCTGACAAAGGCGTGTCTTGATACTATTCCGTTGGTGGTGGCAGCGTGGTCTTTCGCCATCTTCTAGCCGCGCTGCCATCGACGGTACACAATGCCTTCACAGGAGTTGAACATACTCAACGTGGCCCAGGCTCAGTCACAGCACCAACTGGACGATGCATCGCAATTCAGCATTCTGATTGAACTTGATATATGAGGGATGATTGAATGCTGACACACTGAAAGTGACTGACTGATCTTGGCTGCACACTGGGTGCCAACTATGGGACCTGCACAAACTAGCAACTACCTTTTGGTTTCTCTTTGGTTGAAAATCATGGGCCATTTAGCACTCAGTAGGCCTCCAGGGCTTGTGGCAGCCGAGCGTAACTGGGCCCTCCGGCGATGGGTAACCCATAAGCCACTTGGAAGACCTTGGAGGGACGATCAATCGCATGTCCTGCTACACCTCGAATGGCCATACCCCACCCATTAGCCTCCTTACTGGGCCCATTTTTCCATGATCAAAGATTCAATTTCAAACGGGAAACACATTTTCCGGAGACAGTCAAACAAATGAGTTGGTTGAGGGACACGCCTTTTGCAGGAGTGTACCCTGGGATGATAGATGTACTACCCTTTAATAACCCGCTTATCACCATTGCTTTAAGAGTGTCTTCGTCTGGGGTAGCTAAGTAGAAGCTTGAAAATAAGCTGGGGCAGTGCGCGAGTTTCTGCCAGTTTGGAACAGCGCTCCCCTTGTTCAGATTGATAGATCGATGAACACAAACGCTGCAGGCGCAAAGGGCCAGGAGAAAAAGAGCCAGGGCCGTTTCGAAAAGCGACGCTGCCCCAAAGGTGTTCCAAGGTAAAATGCTAGCAGCGCCCTACTCCTGGAAGATATTGGGGTGAAAGGAAGATGTGTTAGGCTCGTGCTGGGAAGGCGGTTTCTCAAAGCCCTGCACCTGATGCCATGCTGCACGCTGCATTTACCAGAAGCTCGCGAAAAACTCTCTGGCAATCTGCTGGAAAGCTTTCGTGTTCCTGCTTCCTGTCCTTGACAAGAATTCAAGCAGAGCCGACTGCATGCACAACAGTTGCAGCCGTTGGAAGCCATGCAGGATTTTGTGGGGGTCTGTCCACACAAGCCTCCTTGACAATCAATGTGTGGTCGGACCCGTCTTTGCTTTCAACGCACCTGTTTTCCTTCACCTACCATGCGCGAAACCCCGCCCCCAATGCATGGACCCTTGGAGGGGTCGATGGGCCCTGGGTTGGGTCCAGGGAAGCCAGGGGTCCCCCCCACAGACTGCATGAAACATCTCAAACCTACAAAACACGTGCTGCAGGGCCCCCCCAGAAACCTGCACCTTGTGCCAAAGCCGTCACAAACATCCTTTGCGGCTCGGCTCTGAAACTCCTGGGGCGCCCAGGCCATGTTGCAAACAATTGCTCATCAGCGCCTGGGGGGCTGAGCGGGGGAACCCCCAAAATGGGTGTCCGCTTTTCATCACTCCGACGGGGCGACAGCAACCAACGACACCCCCCGGTTTCTTTGCAACTGTGCATGGAGCAAGCTGCCTCCCCAATCAAAGGCGGGCGTTGTCTGAGACATTGGGCGTGGGACAAAAGAGTGACTGCACAGTGCAGCTGAAGCCTGGCCTGCATAAGGCGAGCTGAACTGCCCATTTGGCAGGCTTTGGCAGACTGGAGCCATGCAGCGTTGGAGACCCCATCCACAGTTGACACCTCTATTGCATGGCAATATTGTCAACAGCGGATCGTTTTGATTGCCCTTCCCTACCAACCAAAAATGTCACATCAAACGAGACGGACCATCTCTACCATAGTTATTCAAGGTAGACCGCCTACCCAAATTCGTCAACAAGCCTATGAGTCACCAACGCACTTCTCCAAAACACTAACCAGCAAAATATGGCTCACGATCAACACAACATGGTGGACCTCATACATCTAGCTACGGATGATAGATGCCGACAACCTGCCGAGGCTAACAAGTATACATTCGCGCTGCGTCAATGCCACGATCCTTCCGTCTAAAGACCGTCTGAGTCAGATTCAGAAGAAACCCGATTGTCACGGATTTTGAGACATACCGATAAGTATGGACGGTATTGTGTATTGTTTACAGACGGAATTCATCCCGCGAAGGAGCGTGGCAATTGTCGAACACCCGTAGGTCAACTTGCAAACTGATGTTGGAGACCTTAGCAGCACACTGCTGCGCGCACTTTGCGGAACGCCTCCTGGAACGCAAGCCAACAGCAGCAGCCCTCTGCGACTATGGGACACGAACCGCCTCAACGCAGCATAGGGCGGAGGAGGATAAACACATCTGAAGGCCAAGGCGCCTGGATGGCCATGCCAGCCGCTGCATGCTCACGAGATCACGCTCACCAGCACGCACTAGCGCCGAACAGAATCATCCCCAAGGATTGTACCATGTGCTGGTAACACAATTGTCACTCAAACCTAAACATGATTCGCAACCTCAGTCAAACCAACCACCAAATGTGACCGGGGCTACAGGGACTTGCTCCCGGAAGGCGGCCGGCAGTTGCAGCTAGGTTGGCGCGTGCGATTTGCAGAAACCACTCGCTTGCGCCGTTGGTGAAGGGAAACAATAAAGGGAGCCAGCACGGACGACGCCTAGCCCTTTTGGGAGGAAGTGGCCCACAAAAAGCACAAGTGTACAGTGGTTAAACCAAGCATCGGTAACCAAAGCAACAGTCTGCCTTGGCCAGCCTGCTGTTGTGAATTATGGCCATTGGTTGGATGAGATATAATCACCATTCCAGCACATATCTCAAGTCAGCGAGTGCATCCACCAAAATACAGATGCTTATCGCGCACGCCCCAGCCAATGCGCACACGGCCGATCTACAACTCACTTTTGAGCTCCGACACCCGCTTGGCTTCTTGGTTGCCGGATGTGCGGTCCACCTCGGTGAGGTGAACAAAGCAACTCGCATAGCATTGGCAAACGTTGTTGTCCCAAGGTCTTTACAGGGTCAGGCCCCCCCCCATCTATTTGTGAGCAACAAACAGGCGCCACTCGAACTCCAGCCCATTCGCAGAGCCATCTCCCTCTCTCTCTCTCTCTCTCTCTCTTTCGCGCTTGCTCTCTCCCCCTGTTATTAGGACACACACACACACATTTTTCTTGCAACTCCCTCACATCATCGTGTCAACGACTTTCGGGAATCGCTACAAGCTCTTGCGTCGCACGCCGGCGCCTCTTTGTTTTTCGTCTTAGGGGTTTCGATCATGGGAACAAGCAGCGGTTGTGGCTGGATTTCTTCGAACCCATTTTCTGAGAAGGCTTCACTGAGGAACATCACGGTCCTAAAAAGAGTCCAAAGGACAACTGCCTACCTTCAGGGAAGTTCCCCAAGACACATCCTTGCCCTCCCGCCAGCAAACGTGCTGTCGGAACTGAGGCCTGCGCCATCGTGAGCACCTCGAAGTGCGCTGCCATGAAAATGGTGCGGAAAAGGGAAGCATTTTGTGCCCCCCACCCGGCAGGTTCGGGGTCGTTGTTGATTTTTGTACGTATTTTCCCGACTGCCACCACCAGCCCTCCTGATGACAGCCGCTCCGCCAGTTGCCAGTTGCCGGGCCAAGACAGCCGCGACCGATCGAAGCCTGATGCTCCCCAAAGTCTGCTCCCGCCAGTGGCCGGGCCAGGGCAGCTAGTCGCCAAATGTAACACGAGGTTCTTGCCAGCGGGCCAGGACAGCTACGACAGTGGAAGACTGAGGCATTGGTCGAGCGAAACCAGGGACAGCAATGATGTGACATTGTTTGAGAACCAGGTTTGCAAGCGCCTTCCCGGGTCTTTCGCTTTGAGAAAGTTTCTCGGTGCTCAAAGATGTTGCCGCTTGGTTGCTTGTTTGACACGGGTCCAGGGTCAGGAGCACGTAATTCTCTCTTGCATCTTTCAGCGGTTCGCCTTGGAAAACACATCGGTGGGTTCCCTGCATGATCTTTGACCATTTCAGAAGAAATGGTCGGGTTTCTTCTTTGTGGACAAGGAAGATCACATTGACATTGGTAGGCGTCCGTTCATGGTCTGTTGATGGCGACAGAAAAGAAAACAGCTGATTTCATTGTTTGCTTTTCGGCTTCTTGGTATGTCAGCCTTCCCTTTGAGAACAATCCAAAGTCGGCATGTTTGTCATTTGTCAATTCACATACTCATGACCGTCTTATGTTTTCCGTTCAAATATGGGATCCCTGCTTCTGATGTGGGGCCTTTTTGACGGCCCTTCGATCTCACATAGTACTAGGACCCCCCAACATTTCAGAAGGGTTGTAAAGCCGGCAGGTCCCTTTTCGCCAATCACCAGTGGGCAACCTTGACAATGATAAAACATGAAGCCCAGGAAAGGGCGCTGAGTGATCTGTCTTGCTGGCTTTCCGTTTTTGGCAATACACCACACTCATGTTTGAGCTGTTGTTGCCAGGTCCATGGAATCTTGCCAAACTCCAGTTCTGCCACTTAAGTGGGGGAAACATGAACCGCAACACCAAGTCACCAAATTGGACTGCCGTCCAAACAATGGTTAGGTTCGGAGCAGCTGCCCCTAAAACCTTGCGCAAAGGCGAGCGTCTGTGTGTGCCCCATTGTTTCGCGGGTTTCTTTTCTAGATAGTAGACCTAAGGCAACAAAATGCGGATAATCTTTGAGGCAAACACCAGGCTGAAGCAAACTTGAAGAAAGCAAAGTCAAGCCCACTACGGAACCTTTGGCGCATCGCCTGGTAGGGATGAAGGCGGTTGTCTTTCATCCATGTTCATCTCCACTCTGACCACAGGCTCAGCCACCCGCCTCGTCCCCCTCTTCACCTGCGAGCTATGTTGAGCCACGCCACCTACGGGTGTTGCCTAGCTTCTCTCAAGGATTGGAGTCACGCAAATTGGTGTACTTCTCGAAAGGTGGGAAGTATTAATTATTGTCCTGATCTTTGTGGCAAGCCATATGCGAGTTGCACAACCTCGGAGCCAGGAGTACATAACCGGGATACATCGCTTGGCTTGGGAGCACGTGAAAGCCCACTCTGTCACAATGAAAGGCACCAATCCAGTCTCAGGGGTGCCTTTCAAAATGGATCAAGTTCTCACTAAACACGGAACTTTTCCGAACTTGGAAGGATTGAACAAACAAAGTGAAGGTTTCTATGCCGGCAGCAAGCACAGAGGTCAAACAAGGGCAAGTCGGGCATCAAGCCAGCGCCTTCAAACATGCCGCGGACTTTCCGGAAGGCTGCCTGGCGGGACCGGCCACATTGGCTCCGGTGTGATTCCAAACAATCCCCAACTCCAAAACTCACCAAGCCGGCGCGACATGGTTAACATCCGAAGCATGGGATCTATGCGTTGTCTATCTAAATCACCTTGGTCAACTTTGATTGCTTTTTTGATATCATCAAACTCTCACACAGCCCAAGCGGTACTCACTCGTGGATTTGCCGAGGCATCCCTGGACCCACGCACAACTACACTTGAAATTGCTGACCCGAATTACAGGCAACCGATGAGAAATTGACATGTCAGCTGAACAGTTTCCAGCACACAAAGAAACATGGCTCCCCCAAAGTAATGAATTCCTGGGTGCCCTGTGCGACAGGCACTTTCTCACTGATCATCTGGCACTTCAGGTTGCCATGGCAAAGCAGGGCTCCCAATCTAAGGCACCGGGACAGGTGCACTTGCTTAGCTTGGCCAGGCTGGAGACACCAGCGACGCATTGGATGGGTTTGCTTTGGGCAACTAATTCGGACTCTGGCCTCTGAACGCTCCAAGTGCCATTCATGGCTCCCATTGGCACCCAGCCACTGGTCCAGTGCCCTGCGCCTTGGCAGCCTTCTTGGAGGACTTCCTCAGGAAGCCGGTGGAGTCAGCTGATTTGCTGCTCATTTTGCCAATCATCTTTCAACGTGCAAATCGGGTTTTGATGATGAGGACTTAGCTTGCCTATGCGGCCAAGTCGCATATGCTCGCCATATCTCTCAAGCTCGGCCAGTGCAGGGCAAGCCTGGGCCAAACGCTCCGTTCTTCCCAAGTCCTTTGCTCAGCAACCACCGTGATAGCTCGCCACCAAATTTCAACACTATGACAAAGGAACTCGCAAAGCGGAACCTTTGCAGGGCAAATGGGGCACATGGCCAAGCACTCAAAGGGAGTTTACTTGGTCACTTTGCCTTCGCAGCCTTTCTTAGCTTATGCTGCATAGTGATCTTGCGATGATGGACTGGCGATTGTGCAGTCGCTCTGAACCTGACAAAATGTTCATGGCACAAAACGCCTGAAACCATATCCCAATCTGAACAACTTGGAGGATTGCGCAGCACACAACAACGCTAGGGCCGTGGTCAAAGGAATGCATGAAGTGGATAGCCATGGCAGCCGGAATGGCAGTGATTCTGAACAAATGCATTGCCTTGCTTTTTCGGAGCAATTGTCCTCACTACCAGAATGAACTTCTCAACACAAAGGCCATGGCGCAGGCACAGCATTTGCCAGGCTACGCATGTGAGACCTCTTCGTGGCTGATCCCAAACTCTGAGGCTCGTGCCGGATCCTCGCAAAAGAATCTCCTGAGATAGTCCTGCGGGGTCTGCGCGAAAAGCGCTCTTGGCACCGAACGGTTCAAAGTTCTACTCAAATCCACGTAGTGCAACGAGCTCATATATGTCGATACTTGAACCAATCTGAGTTGTTGGGGAGGGTTAGCCTTGGTGAAGCCGTCAGCCACGCTAGCTGCTCGGGAGAAATCCCACAAGGCATGGGCTACTTCGGAAACAACACATAGCACGACATGACCCATCGGCAAACTGTTAGACACGCTTCCAAACTATCATGCTCTAGGAAAACTCCCGTCCATCTGTCTTGGCCACTTGCTTCTTGTGTTTTGCGCACACGCCTTCTATGCTTGCAAAGGACTCGGCTGATATAATCGAGTTGAGTTGCCCGTCACATGCACTCTATATATATATATATATGGCATTCATAATGATCAGTAAACATCAGAAAACATTCCGAAACGCCGCATGGCTGCGGAAGGAATGCTAACGTGCTGCCAAGCATGAGAACCGTGGTCCAGTGTGCCTCGAGCTAACTGAATCCCCATGCTTGTTGAACATATTTGTGAGGGACTGTGATTTGGTGCTGCTTTGCGGAAAGCTTTCGGAAGGCATCTGCCCACGATCCATAATCAACGTCTTGGAAATTCAACAGGGCTCCCAATCAACAAACATATGGTCAAAGGCAGGCACTCCCTCAACTCAGCCCGGGTCAAAGAAGACTTGCACCGAGCCCTTGGACCTCCAGCCTCGCGACCGCTTCTCCGCACCTTCTCGATTTCCAGGGCCTTTTGGACCCACGCTTCCGGCTTCTTCTCCCTAATCTTCCGCAGCCTCGGAGCAGGAACAACACCCCCACACCCTGAATTCGGCGAAAAAGCGCCAGGAATCACTAGTTTGGTGAATCATGGGAAGGCATCAGTCACAAACCTGAAAAGGTTGGAAGAAAGAATCTTGGTGAGGGAGGATATCTGCATGATTTGTGCAGGTTCGCGAGCTTGCAAAACTTATTCAGATTGAGCATGCCCCCTATGATGTCTCACAAAAAGTACTTGCCTAGCAGGCGCTTCTTCATGAGCAGGGACCCAAGACTTTGCATGCCGTGCAGGCTGCATCTGCCATGCAAGCAACAATCTGACAATGCGCGTAAACAATCGTCTGGCTTCCTAGGTGCTAGAGCCACGGGGGTTGGAATCAAGAAACATGCCCGTTTGGCTGCTTTTGGATTTGCCCGAGGCTTGCACAGGGCCCAATACTAGGATTAGTTGCTCTCCAGGCGCATCCAGAGATTCGTTAAAATCAGTGCTTCTACTTTCGCCATTTATGATGGAACACAACCGTACGTTGTGACATGCTCTTCAAGGCTAGCAAATCATGTCAATCATTCATCTTGACAGGATATTTCACAATGCCGCAGTACCAGTTGTCGTTGTTTCCAAGGGCGGGCAGTCAGCTTGTCAACTTGTGTCCACCTCCTGAGGGCCTGGCGCCAGTTGTCGCGAACGCACCACATTCCAGTGAAGGAAGTTGTACCTGGGCAAGCAAAACAGCTTCTGCCGAGCATTGAACACTAGTGTCACTGCAAGGCGTGCCGAAAAAATCAAGGAATGATCGAATAAAACACGCATGCAACTTCTCGTGCTCCCCTGCGTCAAGAACAAGTGCTGCCTACATAATACATGTCATCCAGTCCTACTTACTTTGGCCAAATTTTCGGCCAAGCGATGGTGGCGCACCCGCTGAACACCGGGTGGTTGACCTCTGGGCGCCCACGCGCGAGCTCCTCCAAAGTCACTTGCCCATCGCGGCTCACGTCGTGGTACTGCAGCGCATCCTCCGGCGTCAGCTGACTCGTCAGGATTCCACGGGATCAATGCCAGGAACAAAGGCATGATGCTTCAGTAAGTTGATTGCAAACCCTCCTGGAGGCATGACTATTGAAGCCCTGCAGTTGCACCGGCTGAAGTTTTTTCATCCCCAACCTACAGCCTGTTAAAACCTCAACTCATACCTCGGTTTACGCACCGCATCACCATATCACCAACTCCCCCATAACTGCAGCCGGCTCTCACGCCGAGCTAAGCATGCAACTCAACAAGCCGAGGATGGCCTGGCAAAAGCCTTCGCCCAAGATGCCCTGCCTCAACCCATACACGCATAGATTCTTCCGTGAGCTCTTCCTTCTGCTTGGCGGTCAACATGCTCCGCCAGTTGTACCTGAATTGCAGGCAGCTGTATAAGTGGGTTAGCAACCCGATCACCAACTGAGCATGATGTTTTTAGACAAACCACCACCAAAATGATCTTTGAACAACGGGTGATCTTTAGTGCCAGTGCATAGCGCAGGCACGCCTGTGGCACAGTGGCCTGTGAAAGCAGCATGTGCGTATTTGCGTCACGGCCTTCAACTCCGGCATAACAACCTGCCTACCAATCTTGCAAACATTTTGGAGAAACCAAATTAGGACCACCTCTGAAGGTGCACAAGCCAATTCCCAATGCCTTACAAACGCACGTGGCCAAATATTCTCCGGGCATGCTGTTGTGATCGGCCTCTGGCCATCCAAAGCTGGGTAGTTTGCAATGCATATCGAGCAAGCAGTCCGCTCTTTTGCTAGTACCCACCGAAACGGTAAACGCAGCTCGCCGTAGGTCAAGCAAGCATAAAGCAAAACCAAGGAGACATACGCAACGTGATTCAAGACAATGCCGGAACCCCTAGCCTTGGGTGCGAAAAAGCGGAGCCAGGCTTCCCAAAACAAACATATGTCAAAAAGGCGGCCGCGTCCTGCCTGAAGTCGCCGCGGTCAAGAATTTCCTGCACCGGCACTCAGCAAGCGCACCTTCCAACCCACACTGTCTATAAGCGGGAACTTGGTGCAGTTGCGACCAACATGGAGTACACAACCCGGGTTGGCTTCACTCCTTGATGATTGATTCCCTGGAACATATTGATGAGCAAAGATAGACTATGGTCAAAACAAAAACGTTGCCAAAGCATAGCTCCCACTGCAAAAATAAATGCGAGGATTTGTTTTTTAAACTGTTAGGACAGTCGGCTGCAGGAAAGTATCATAATTCGGACGCCTGCCCCTTGACACCGGACTGTGTTGGTCGAGCACAATGAAGCAACACGCAACAACAGCTGCCCAAGAAGCCCGGGCAAAGGGTATCCTTCCGGGTCGCTTTCTTCTTGGCTGCAAAGGCATCATACCTCAGAACTCAGCAAGCGGCCGCAATTTGTTCCATCAGCTGTGCTGAAATCGCAGTGCCACTCTGTAATAGCCTCAGCCATTGAATGATGCAATTGGAGTCCAAATACAGCACCAATCTGGGTCAGGAGCTGACCAAAACCGGGGAGCACCCATCTGTTGCGGGTGCGATAAGTAAGACTTGGGCATCAAAAAACAAATCCGATACGCTCGATTTGCAGAAGTTTGCATGTCCAGGGCAGCCTTGTGGGTTACGCGTGGGTCGCAATAAACTGAGTGCTACGAGTGACTTACATCTAAGCGTGCTTCAAGTTACGTACCTCCCTTCTGGACCGCTGACAAAGCGCGATCCACCGAACAAGATGCCATTGCAGTGCATATATTGGAAGTCAAAGATATGACATGCTAGGGCATTGCAATCAAACCCGCCGTAAAACACCAAGGTTTCATCCTCCAAAGATCTCCAAAGCAAGCGCAAGTGGTTGCATGTAATGGTCGGGGACACTTGCGGATAGCAGTGAAGCCCACCAGAAGGTGGTTCCATATTCAACAAAGCAGTCATCTGCACAACATGCTAATCATTCCCGTTGCGCTAGGTGCCTCTATTGCCCCTGAGCTCAGGGCAGCTCTGATGCCACGATCTGCCCCTCAGCACAAGGGCAAACTGCTCTGGGTGGCTGAGGTAATCTACCCCACTAAGCCTTCTGTACTTGCTGGCCTCATCCAATTTCAGTCTAAAGGTGGCACAATGACACCTGAGCAATAATAGACGCGTACTCACAAGGCTCTGCAAAGAGTAGCTCAGCACCACGGTAGCACCACTCGAGTCAGGCAAGCCGCTGTAGACGCGTGGCCTGTTGCCCTTGTTTGCCGTGTTGGTTAAAAAGACCAAGAACGCCACACCTGTATTCCAAAATGACACCATTGTACAGTATGCAGATCAAACAAGGGAACCCTCGTGGAGATTCAAGCGACCGATCTGGGCAGCAACTGTCCGCTTGGCGGCTTTAAACCAATTCAATGGTCGACAAGCATAGCGGCAAGCGAGCCCAATATCAGTAAGCATATCCGGCCAAACGACTCCATCTACCAATGGAGTTGGTAAGCAGCTGAAAGGTGTGCCACGTAATCAAAGTGAACCGGCAAGCTCTCAGATCTCGGAAATGGTCTGGTTTCCGTTGCGCAGGAAAGCGCGAGAAAATAACAAGGGCCAACATAAAACCACCACAATAACCCATTGTGCGCGTTGCTTGCACTCCGGGCCAGAAGGGCCTCTGGCTGGTTCTCCTGCTAAAGGCCCTTCAGCTAGCGGGAAACACTGCAACAAATCTGACCTGGCCATCCCGAAGCCCTAGTTGCTCAACAGG